CCGGGGGGGCGGCCCAGGGGGGTCGGAGGGGGAAAGCGCGCGACGCGGGCGGGCGGGCTCGCGGCGGGCACGTCGCGCTCCTGCAGCCCGGCAGGGGCAGCGGGGCATCCGCGTCTTGAAGAGGGATGCGCGGCTTCTGGTTCGGGTTGGGTCGCTCGTTCACCCCCTGACCCCGTAGGATTCCGCATCGCCAACCTCTGCGCCCCGCCCTTCTCGGGTCAGGTGGCCCCACGTCCCCACGTGTCACCAACCTCTGCCTGAGAATGAGCCATTCACCCCCCACACACACTTGTTAATGGCCCATCCGGTGCCGGCCCAGGGGTCTAGGTCCCCGGGACACCAGAGTAGGAAACACGTGCCCCCCACCACGCACCCACACACGCACACGCGCGCGCACACACACGCACACACACGCTCTGGAGCTCACCCTTTAGGAGGAGTAGAGAGACAATGAATGAATGAACATTTGTATTTAGGTAAATTTTTCCAGGCAGGTGCTGAGGAGCGAGCAGAGGGGCCCCAGGAGAGGAGTGACAGGTGTGCTTAGAGTCAGGCAAGGCCTCTGGGAACTGGGGAGAGCCGGAGCCTTGTGAGCACAGGGAACAGCGGAGGGAACAGAAAAGGCAAAGGCTCCAAGGCGGGAGATGCAGCCACCAGCATTCGTCCAATGTCTTTTGAGTGCCTGCCACTTCTCTGTGGTGAGCCCTCACACACCGCTGATAGTAAGAAAGGTCAGTGGCCTTGGTGTGCCTGTTTGGGGCCAGGTCCTTGACTGGGTGACTTACATAGATTAGGTGATTTAACCTCAAAACAGCCTTTGTCATGGGTAGGTACTATCAGCCCAATTTTACGAGGGAGGGCACTGAGGCTCAGAGTGGCTTCCCCAAGGCCATCAAGGGCAATAAATGGCTGGCCAATCCTGGATCCCATTTTGTCCTCCCCACAGCCTTTAAGGAGGAGACCAGCTTTGAGGGCTGGGCAGGTGGGACCTCAGAGAGCTTAGGTGAAGTGAGACCTAAGTGGAAAGTCTTTTCTGTGAAAGCTTCCACTTTTCTGCTGAAAGAGACAGCAGTAGCTGGTATTAGCCCCTCATAGTTCTTTCTGCCCTGAACATGGGTGGGATGTCTGGAGCTGTGGTAGCCATCTTGTGATCATGAGGCAAAGTCCAAGAGACTCACAGACACCAGTACTGATACTGCTAAACCCAGGGGACATGTGGCAACGTCTGGAGACGTTTTTGGTTGTCACAACTTGAGGGAAGGAATGCTACTGGCGTCTAGGATGTGGAGGCCAGGGAAGCTGCTAAATATCCTACAGTGCACAGGACAGCCCCCCACAACAAGGAATTATCCGGCCCCAAATGTCAATAGTGCTGAGATTGAGAAACCTTGTGCTAAACCAGCGCCAACAACCAGGCTCCTTGTTATGTAAGAAAAATAAATCCTGAAGTGTTTAAGCCACCGTTGGTCAGGTTTTCCATGAGGACAACGAAAAGCATTCCCGGGTGATGCGGGTACAGATGCGGGTTGATGACTCCACCGAAGGCGCCAGCACGGCCTGGCAAGCGCGTCTGTCCCGCTTCCCTCGGTCCCTGTGGCCTTGGGCCCGTGCTCCTCCTGCTAAAGCGCGGCCCCTTCATCACACACGGGGACGACAGTGGTGCCGTCTGCCCTGCGGGGCTGGGAGGCCGAGGGAAGGAGCGCAGATGTGGAGCCAGGCCGGGCTGCTCGGCTGAGTCCCCGGCCACCGCCAGGCCCAGCGCACGCTGCCTCTCCTCCCTGAGGACGGCAGCCCAGGATGTGGCAGATGGAAAAGGCCCCGTCCCCGTGCCCGCCGCCCACACGTGCCTGACACAGCTCACCCAGGACATGGCGGAGCATGAAGTCCACCTCACTGGCTTTGTCCCTGTCCCCACAGGGGAGAGCCTGGACTCTGCCTGCTCTGGAAACGTCGACCCTTGTTTGAGACTGTGCGGGGTGTGGGCCTTGGTTGTGGGCTGAATCACGTCTCCCAAAAAACATGTGCGAGTCCCATCCCCTGGGACGCGTGAAGGTGACCTTCTCTGGAAACACGGCTTGTGTGATATAATCAATCTGAGATGAAGTCGCGCTGGATCAGGATGGGGCCTCATCCAGTGACCGCCGTCCTTATAAGAAGGCCGAGTGAAGACACGGGGGAGCCCGTGACGGGGGAGGCCGAGCGTGGGCGATGTGTCCACAGGCCAAGGAAGGCCGGGCCTGCTGGCAACCCCAGGAGCTGGGGGAGGCCTGCCTGGCACAGTCTCCCCTCAGAGCCTCCGCAGGGAGCGCGGCCCTGCCCACTCCTGGAGTTTGGACTTCCGGCCTGCAGACTGTGGGAGAAGACATTTCTGTTGTTTTAAGCCCCCCGGTTCCTGGTCCTTCGCCGCGGCAGCCCCAGGACACCGACGGGGGCTCATCCCCAGTGGAGGGAGGAGCAGGGCAGAGGCCTGAGCAGACGGAGACACACGGCTGGTCAGACTCACGGCTCTCGGAACCGCCCTCAGAGCCACTCTAGGGCGCTGGGACTGCTCAGGGTCGTTCCAGGACCCGGACCCGGGAAGCACCCCTGAACCTTTCTGGGCTTCTGCTCAGCGGGGAATGGGGGAATCC